TTCAAATTCAAGTCTACGGCACAATAGACTTGAACCTATGAGCGCGAAAGGAATGAAGAGGCTGGCTGCGAAAGGAGTTTTAGAAGGTCTGAAATCTGTTGATGTGGGTCGTTGTGAGAACTACATTATGAGCAAGCAGAAACAAGTTAGCTTCACAAGGACCGCCAGAGAATTGAAGAAAGTGCGGTTGGAAATAAAACCAGAGGTGAAGCAAGTGGGAGTTGAGGTTGAGTTGCTGAAAGATTCACATAGTGATGTTGTAGCAGATACTCAAGAAACTCCTGAGACTTATGCTGTTGGCGAGGAACCTAGTCTATCATTGAAAACACAGAAAGCGATACCATTTCACTCGGAGGTTAGTGAGAGATGGTGATGTGTTTTGAGAAGATAGAGGGTGCAAAGAATCCAGCAAACATGTTGACAAAATGTGTTGATGTTGGAATATTGAGGTTGTGCAAAACCTCAATTGGTATGGTGCAGTGAAGACATTCATGATCGTTTGAGAATGAAATTCTTGGTTGACTGGATCAGTCTCCAAGTGAGAGAATTGTTAGGTTATGGAGTCTGCTATTTAATTTATAGCTTGGCCAACGGTTATATCCGGTAAAGCTATATTTGGTAAAGCTATATATAGTAAAGCTATATATGGTAAAGCTATATAGTAGATGGCTAAATCTGGTAAAGCTATATATAGTAAACTAAACCATATATATATCCCGTCCGGTAGAGCTTTGAAAATGTACTTTCTGTTCTCTGTACTTTCTCTTGTTGTACATACCTGAAGTCATCAATAAAAAAAAATCCTTTTAGCTAGAGTTCTCCTTGCACTTTTCTCTATCCCATTCTTTGTGTTCATCTAGATCGAGCATGTGCGTTGTTGTGTGATCCTAACAGATGAGACATAAACAAGATGAAGACAACTAGAGTAGATAAGAAGATAAGAGGGACAAAAGTACATCATCTCATGCACCAAATGCAAGATGAGCCATAAACAAGATGAAGGCAACTAGAGTAGACAAGAAGACTAGAGGAACAAAGTTAGGCTTGATAAAAGATTGGGTAGGGCTCCAAGCATTAACCTTGAAAGTCAGATTTCTAAAAATAGTTTGGACATGCGACTTTGGAGTTAAGTTGGTCTATATGAAATATGAATACTAGCCAAATTTCTTTTCAAATAGACACTGGATGCATGCCTCATGAAACCATATGACCATTCGCTAAAATCATGTCTACTTCTGCCACATAAAAGATTCCTCCAAATGTACCTCAAGGGGAGACATGATGTCTTTTCTCCACCCCCTCTAGCCATATGGCCTAAAAAAGCTACTCCGTGGAACATATGTGTGTCACAGTGAGGGCAAGCATTGTGAGACGAGTGTCTCAGACGACTTCTTACTTCTTTTGAAATTGTTCTTTGAAGGATAGTGTCAAACGCCACAACCATCCATGTGTCGAAATTTGCTATACGCACCCGCTATCCTATATGGAGTCTGTAAATGATAATGACATAGACACTAGAGGGTTCAATGCCTCGATAAAACTGGATGGATGGATGGATGGATGGATGTTCGAGATGTCCCAAAGATACGAACGACTAGGTCTATTCGAGATGTCCTAAAGATATGAACGTCTTGGTCTGTTCTCGATGGGCTTGAACGAATGAGCTTCGATGGCCAATGACATCCCAAATCTAGGGATGACATCAAGATATGGTGGTCGTATCAATTGGAAATCAAGATGAGAGTATAAGATGTGATGTTACATGTGAGAGACTTTGACCTTGCGTAGAGTTAAGATCGAGCTGAATGACTTGACCTAGTCTAGAAGCCACTTCAATTAAGTCTGCAGACAATTGAACATAAATGCACTAACCACGTATGTTACCGAAATCAAAATAAGACATTTAAAACATAGGTAGGTATCTATATATATCAAAGTAGAGTTTTGTACCTGCATAACCTAAACATAAAATAAGGAAGGGATTCAAAACATTTTAAACCAAACAAAGTTGGAGACTTAGGCCGTTGATATATGGCTCCCCCTCCAAAGTTCGCTCCCATTTTTATCAACTCCATAATTAATTGAAAAATATGAAAAACTTGGACTTACAGTAAGTAATCTAGTTGTAGACTCTTAATCATGTCGATGAACCAGAACACAATATTTTTTTGAATAACATGAGACCTACATATAACTTAACTTGAGTTCATGAAATTTTGTTGACCCAGTTGACCGATATAGTCACATTGTTGGTACAAAACATGATCATGTCATCTTGCTAGTAATACATGACGCAGGACATTTTATCTAGGTGAGGAAAATATGAGGCTCATCATGACATCGCCGCCCATAAGACATGGTGCAAGATATCCACCTAGAAGAGAAAATATGAGCCTCGTAATGCACTTCATGGTGGGAGGTCGTGGTCACTTAGGGATAGTAGCATAGTACCTAATAAGGTCATGACTTTAGGGCATGGGATCTGTAGGATAGTTTCATTTCATTTGGAGGTCATTAGAGCTGTGAACTGGTACTTTAAACCGATATTTGGCTTAGCTACTTAAGTTTATCCAATGATTACCAAATCTTTACATGTCATAATATGCTCAAGTGTATGCCCTTAACTCACCGTTCTTGGTCTATTCTTCCATATTTCTTTAGTTCTTACTTAACCTAAGACATGTATTACATTTTAAATGATCCTTACAAGTATTACTTAATAAAACTTCACATTGACTACTTATCTCTTAGTCGACATTCGGGAGCCTCGTTTCTCAAGCTTCTAGTACCTGAAGTACTCAATTTTTTTTTACAGACTACTTGAAACAACTAGTTTCTGGAACCATAAAAAAAATTATGAGAATAAATTTGGAAGAGAGTTAATTTTGAGAAAGAATTAAGAGGGGTTGGATTTTGGCTAATGCGATCCGTTCGTCTTCTTCCACATAAAGGAAGAAGATGTATCTCATAGCTCTGTTGCTTGAAAATTAACCTCTTCAGCCCACTTTAGAACATTTGTTCTGTAACGATCTGCCTTTTGAGATCATCAAGCAGCGAACTGTCATGTAGTTTAGACATTTTAAACTAAAAAAACAAGAGTTGCAAAATAAAACATGCTTATAAAATTGTACATCCAAAAAGTTTCTGAAAAAAAAAAATGAAAGCATTCTCAAAATTGCATCATAAAATGTAACACTATATGCAACATACTTTACATCCTTTACATCGTAAACGGATATATCTAAACAACTCTAAAGCTCCAATGTTCAAGTTCACTATCTCATCGTCACATAGTACCGCTACCATCTGAAAATAAAAAATAGCAAGAATGAGTATAGAAATACTCAATAAATAACATGTTTGTAGGTTCTTAAACTATACTTGTGTCGTACTGTCTCTTTGTCTACTATTTTAACTTTCATTGAACAAATGACTATGAAACACACTTAAGACTTGCTTAAGCTAATTAAGTCTTCTAAATTGTCTTGACTTACTCTAGCTTTCTTGATGGTAACAGTTTAACATATAACCCAACAAAACTTATCAACTTTGCTAGCTTGTGAGCTCACGGCAAAAGCTATAAAGTTACTTACTTAGGAGTAACTAGTAAGGTTGAGTTTAACTTGGATGTATGTCGGTAATCGACTTGTTCTTGCAAAGGGCCATTAGGTGTTTAGAAAGGACCATTAAGTGTTTGTGGGACTTCCTAATTGCACCCACATGGTGTTTGTGAGGGACCATTTATGTGCATTCATGCTCTAATGAGTTTATTGTATGGTAGTGGTCCTCGTAACTAATTATGGGTACATGGTAACTAATTATGGGTACATGGTAAAAGATGGTGTAAAAATCTTCTTCAAGCAATCACAAAGTACAAACATATGATGTACATGTGATAAAATGTGATAAAATATAATGCAATTATCCATTAATCATGTAAACTGTACTTAAAATATGCCCGTAAAATCATTAAACTATACCTACAAGCAAATCTTGAACAAAGAACATTAGTCATCGCCTTGTAGTCCGTGTACTTAAAATAAAGAATACTTTACTATACTTGATACACTTAATCGGTCCTACCAAGTCAGTTAAGATTAGTTTCTAACATGATTCAAATAATAACGAATAAGAACTCATGGCATTCATATCTCTAAAACTATAACTAAACGGGTTAAACCAAATAGCTACTTACACATGTCGGTGTTCTCCTTTTACGCTAAAAGCGATCCTAACTTGTTCCCATTTCTTCCAAATTCCTCCAAAATATCCAATAATAAATGAAATTAGGAATGACACTCATATAAGATCGAAAAACGAGAAAATAGAGGTCGAACAGATAAGAAAATTCACCCCACATGTTATTTTATGCGCCCAATGCTCGAAATTGATCGCCCACGCACGACCTTTACGTGGGCGTATTAACACACAGTTCCTTCCTTTTTTAAAATTCTCTCTCATTTGTGTGTTGTTGGGAATTTTCACATTTTCTGGGACCGTTTTGAGCTTATTATTTCGTGCATTTTCAGCCAAATTTCAACCCGAATCCTTTACAAAAGTTAAAGATCTCATTACAATAGGGTGTATTTTAGCGTGAGTTAAGGAAGAGGTAGGGACTTGTTTCAATACAATGGGGTATATTGCAACATCACTTATAACCTTGTAGTAAAGGTGACAAAAAATTTGATTCCTAGCCAATGTAAACCTGCTAAAGATCGCCTATTTGTTTAGATTGCTGTCAGTTAGTATCTAATTAAATTTCCGTTAGGAGTTAGATTTAGTTTTTGATTTGATATAGTTTTGATTTGATTTGTTTATTGTTTTGTTACCAGATTTTCTGATTTCTAGGTAGATTTTCTAGATATCTCTTTATATTCTCTGTATATATATAGAGCATTCTTGCTTTTCATAATTCAATCTTCTTATCAACCATTCAATAACTCAGTTTTTCACTAACAATTGGTATCAGAGCTATCTTCTTAAGGGATTTGTGAGATAAAATGGGAGGAGAATCCAGTTTTTCAGTTGTCGCACCACTAGTCTTCGATGGAGACAATTATCAAATGTGGGCAGTTCGTATAGAGACTTATCTGGAGACCTTGGATCTTTGGGAAGCAAAAGAAGAGGATTACGAGGTCCCTCCGCTTCCAGCAAATCCTATTGTAGCACAAATCAAATTACAGAAGGAAAAGAATACAAGGAAATCAAAGGCGAAAGCTTGCCTATTTGCCGCTACATCTCAAATGATCTTCATGCGAATCATGTCCCTTAAAACAACAAAGGAAATCTGGGATTATCTCAAGGCTGAATATGAAGGAGATGAGAGAATTCATGGAATAAAAGTCCTGAATTTGATTAGGGATTTCGAGTTGCAGAAGATGAAGGAGTCGGAGTTGGTGAAAGAGTACTCTGACAGACTTCTCAGCATTGCCAACAAGGTGAGATTGCTTGGTTCTATATTAAATGATTCCAGGATTGTTGAAAAGCTGCTAGTCACTGTTCCAGAGAAGTTTGAAGCCACCATTACTACTCTGGAGAACACCAAAGACTTGTCAAAGATTTCTCTTACAACGCTCTTGAATGCGTTACAAGCACAAGAGCAAAGGAGGTCTATGAGGCAAGAAGGGGTGATTGAAGGTGCCTTACATGTCAAGCATCAAGACAACAGCAGGTATAAAAATAACAAAACTTTCAAAAATCAATTGATGAATGGAGATCCATCTGCCAATTATCAGAAGATAAAAGGAGGAGGTTTCAAAAAATCCTATCCACCTTGTCGCCATTGTGAGAAGAAAGGTCATCCACCATACAAGTGTTGGAGAAGACCCGACGCCTTCTGCTCCAAATGCAATCAACTTGGACATGAAGCTGTGATCTGTAAAGCCAAAGATTAGGTGAAAGAAGTAGCTGCATAGGTAGTTGATCAAGAAGAAGAAGAAGATCAATTGTTTATGGTCACTTCTTCCTCAGCCAAAGAATCAAGCGAGAGCTGGTTGATTGACAGTGGGTGCACAAATCACATGACATATGACAAGGAGTCTTTTGAGAAATTAAGAGACACTGAAGTCAAGAGAGTGAGGATTGGCAATGGTGAACAGTTGGAAGTCAAGGGAAAAGGCACAATAGCTATAACAAGCTATGAAGGTACAAAATTTATTCCAGATGTTTTATTTGTACCTAAAATTGATCAAAATCTGTTAAGAGTTGGTCAATTACTTGATAAAGGTTATAAAGTGTTGTTTGAGAATAAGTAGTGCTTGATCAAAGATGCTAGTGGCAAAGACTTGTTCAATGTCAAAATGAAAGGAAAAAGCTTTGCTCTAAATCCGACGGCTTTTATATCCAGAGTTAGTGCCAATAAGATTTGGCATAAAACACTTGGACACTCTCATCATCGAGGTTTGCTTTAGATGCAGTCAAAGAAGCTGGTAGAAGGACTCGCTGACATTGATGATGACATGCCTCCTTGCCGTGCTTGTAATTTTGGGAAGCAACATAGGCAACCCTTTCCTAAACAGGCATGGAGAGCATCAAAAAAACTGCAACTGGTTTATACTGATCTTTGTGATCCTCAGCAAACACCATCATTAAATGGTAATCTCTATTACACTATTTTTATTGATGATCTAATAAGAATGTGTTGGATCTTCTTGCTGAAGCAAAAGTCTAAAGTTGCGGGTGTATTTTGGAAATTCAAAGCCAAAGTTGAAAATGAAGGTGCATGCTTGATTCAGACTATAAGATCAGATAATAGAAAGGAGTACACTTCAGAAACTTTTAACAGGTTTTGTGAAGAGGCTGAAATTGAACATCAATTGACAACACCATACATTCCTCAACAAAATGGCGTTAATGAAAGGAGGAATAGATTCATAATGGAGATGACGAGATGCATGCTTCATGAGAAGAATCTTCCAATACGTTTTTGGGGAAAAGCAGCAAACACTATTATGTGCTTGCAAAATCGAATTTCAACAAAAGCTGTGAAGGACCTAACACCATTTGAAGTTTGGTATGGTTACAAACCTTCTTTAAAGTTCCTTAGAGTATTTTGGTGTCTTTGCTTCACATACATTACACAGGTCAAGCGTAATAAGCTTGACAAAAAGTCGGAAGTTAGCATCTTTGTTGGGTATAGCACTATATTCAAAACTTACAGAGTTTTTCAACCACACACTAGTTGTGTTATTGTGAGCCGAGATGTTCATTTTGCTGGAAACGAGCAATAGAATTGGGATGAATAGACGAACGTGAATCAGATTTCTAATGCACCAAACGATTTAATCCTTGGTAGCATGTTAGAAGAGTCTGAAGATGAACAACAAAAAGAGTCTGAAGATGAACGACAAGATGCTTTGGTTGATGATGCAACTATCAGAGGAGGAGCTTTCAGTGATCGAGAAAAACAAAACTTGGGAGTTAGTTGATCGACCTCTAAACAGAAAGATAATTGGAGGAAGATGGGTGTTCAGAAAAAAGCCTGGAGTTCACAGCATCTAAACAAGGAGGAGTGTTAAAGATCGCGTATTTGTTTAGATTGCTGTGAGTTAATATCTAATTAAATCTCCGTTAGGAGTTAGATTTAATCCTAAACTAAAATTCTTGAATTCCTCATTCTCCCAAGGTTATTAGACTTTGCGATCTTCACAAGAATTATTCTTTGATTGTGTAGGAACTAAATAGAATAGGTTAGATACAACGAATTTGTGTGTAACCATGAATTGCAATTTCAAGTCTTAAGCTTCAAATGGTAGACTAAATTGGGGAAAAAGGCTACGACTACTTTCAGCCCTCGACTCCTTCACATAATTTGTGGAAATATTCTTTTAGAAGGTGTAGGAATTGATTTGAGAAGAATGATGGATGGTAGCTGATGAATTCAAAAAACTTCAAGAGTAGAAAATCGAGAAAGTAAGCTTCAATTACTTGCACTTAAAGAGCTCCCATAGCTTGATTCCTATCCCAAATGGCTCGCCTTGATCCCTTATTTATAATAGTGGCATCCACCGTCTTTGAAAGCTCTAGAATTAGCTCAATTGGGGTGGTTACTATTTGAGATATGACCAGCCAGAAAACTTGATCCATTCATATCTTTAACGACTTCTAAACTTAATTCCACTCATTGGACTTAAAGCCCACGTGTCTATTGACGGTTGTTCAAAATTGGGGCGGCTTAGACTATTAGATCTCAACACATGGTATGTAATAATGACTCAACATGGATACAACATATTTTCTACTTAGATAGTGTCTAGATGGATGGATGTCACGACTAGATTTTCGAGGCTTCCTCGAATATAATAAAACTTTTCATAAATAATACAATGAGAATTTAAAACAAAAGTATATTTTATTTTACAATATATAAAAAAAAGAAGGTTTAGTTCAAATAGACTGGGGGATGAAAAAAATGTCACAATATGAGTGGAGGCTCTAGTTCCCTAAGATTGACTCTCTCTGTCTCTTGCTTTAAATATGCTTTCGTCATCGGCTAACTCCTAGTTATCTAAACAAGATAGAAAACATAGAGTGAGTACAATAAATAGCCTACTTGAAAGCTCTTAATCGTGTTCATGGTGGATGTTAGGGTACCATACTCTTTTCTTAATCATGATACATGTCTTGTGGATGTTAGGGTACCATACTCTTTTCTTAATCATGATACATGTCTGGGCTCTTGTCTTGAGAACCTTGGTCTTTAGGCTCTAGTCATGAGTTCTGAGTACATAACATGGTAGAGGTGTACATGGTCCGGGTTGGGTCGGGTGGGAGGATTTTTTTGACCTAACCCAAAAGTTCGGGTTGGTTGGATTGGTAACCCAACCCAACCCTCTATTTTTGGGTTGGGTTCGGGTTGGGTTGTCAATTTTTTTTAATTTTTATTTGGAATATTAGATAAAATATATTAAAAGTTAACAAACAAACACAAATCAATCTATAATTATTGAAATAATAATAATAATAATACATTCAATAAAAAACAAGGAGCGAAAATTGTAATATATTAACATAGTTCAACATTATCATAAAACTAAAGACAACTAAATACCGACATTTCTTGAGAATTATTTAAAGTAACAAAAATATAAGGATAGATCATGAAATTAAATAAATAATAAAAATGATTAGTTTAAAAGTATTGTATATAACAAAAAAAAAATAAAAAAAATAAAATTTTTTTATAAGTTGTGATATAATAATATTGCAACAAATGATTAGTTCAAAGAATTTAGAATATGCTCTAAAATATAAATATAAACATGCATTTGCATAGCGTGAGTGTCCCTAAATCGGCCTCAATACCACTCTAGCAAACCTATTAATACAAAAAAATTCTTAATATATTTTATATATTTTTAGTTTGCTCGGGTCAACCTGAAGGTTTTGCCTATTAACTCGAAACCAAACCGATTCAGTTCGGGTTCAGAAAAATGAACTCAACCCTACCCGAAATGCTTATCCAACCAAACTCAACCCTTATAGTTCGGGTTGGGTTGGTCCGAGTTGTCGGGTTGAATGTACACCCCTATAACATGGTTCTATACTGAGAATCTTACTACGTGGTTCTTATTCCTTAGACACTTCCCCAAGAGACCTGTGGACTCCTATGGTCAGTGAAAATTTTGATCATGACTTATGTTTGAGATTTCATGTGCCCCGTGATATAGACTGTGCCCAAGGCTCATGCATTTCCTGCGACATTGTCTCCATGCCTATACCAAGGGCCTATAAAATTTCCAGCATAGTCTGAATACCTACATCCAAGGTTTCATGTGTTCCTTGTGAAATAGTCTAAATAACTACTCCAAGGGTTTCATGCATCCTTTGCGACGTAGTTTGTGTTGTGGGATCATGTTGCACCTCTCATCAAGAAGTCTTTAGAGTATGGGGGTAGAGTGGTACTAGAAGTCCCAATATCGTGGTGGTTTAAGGCTTGGGTTATGAATTTTGGAATACCAACCTTCTTGTCATGATTCATGTCCTTAAAGCACCCTCTTAGATTCATAGGTTTTTGAGTTCAAGCTTTTAGGGTGTTCTCGTGTTCTAGCTTTTAGGGTTCGTTCTTAAAACTTGAGGCACAACCATGACATATAACATGTAAACCCTAATCCCTCGTATATATCTTGTTTCTTTTCCTGAGAACCTTGATCTTGAGGTTTTAGAGCCTTAATTCTTAATTCTTGACTCTTATTTCTTGTCCCTTAAACATTCCCTCTAGTATAACCATAGATGACATGAGCCCAAAAGCCTATGTCATTGGTTCAAATTTAACTCATGGTTGCATCAACATCCCTTTGGGTAGAGATCTAGATTCGACATCTTGGTGGCCTCCAAATTTTCTTAACTAAGGATCTAGATTCGACATCTTGGTGGCCTCCAAATTGTCCCAGCATCCTCTTGGGTCGAGATCCAGATTCGACATCTTGGTGGCACTCGAATTCCCTTACTTGAGATCTAGATTCGGCTTATAACTGCCTAGCATCTTCTTTAGTCAAAAACCTGATTTGACATCTTTGTGGTCCCGACAATCCCCTACATATCTTACGATATAGTTTGAATCATGAAATCATGAATTACCGTGAGAGATCTAGGGTGTCTTAAAGCATGTGGTGACTCTAGGTAGTGAGGTACCTAGAATTTTTAGTGTCAATGGTAGGCTTAGAGTTTGGATTGTGTTTTCTTGGCATGGTTCTTGATCTTAGAGCATCATCTTAAGTTCTTATTTAAGAATTATTTATTAGCACTTGAGGCACAACCAAGCATAGATTTTGACAGGTAAGTCCTAATTCAAAATTTGAGTCATAATATATAAACCTTTTATAATCAATCATGTGCATTAGTCCCTCGTACTATCATCATTAGGTATTATGTAACATAGGATGTCACTTGAAGA